TTGGAAATTCAGCGTGTGAGGCATAGTTGAGACAATAATATGTGAGGAGGAAGAGTGAGCGCTCTGAGGGAGTCCCTGAATAGATATCTTTTTCTGGGTGTTCATGACAGGCTGCAGCATGTGAAGGAGGGGAAGACAACTTCTGGCAGTTTCTTGAAATAATTTCATTTTTGGGTCACAACCCTGTTAAAAATGTGCTAACCCCTAAATGAAGACAAATGTTGCTTCTCCTTTTTTTTTCTCAAACGAAGTGGAGTATGTTCATCATGTTTATCGAGTGTGAGGTGGCAAGACTTCCCCCTTTTTTTCTTTTTTTTTTTCCTTTTTAAGGCACATAGTGTAGTCCAGTCTAGGTCTAGATGTATGACTTCCTTCCATGAAACTGGATTATTGATTGCTTCATTTCATAGCATTTCTCACGGCTGCACTACTTCCAGTATGTTTGTGAGGATGTTAGATTTCTTTTAACCCTTTCAGGGACAGCGGTTACTACAGTGGACAGCTTATCGTGTTATCAGGTTACAGGGTGCATGAAAGGGGTAATTTATGTATTTTTTTCGGTCCAATGAGACTTCAGCCTCTACATGTTGCCAAATAAAGCTAATCTAGCCTTCACAATCAGTAGAGCTGTGCTGAATTATGCGTCTTAATTTATATTAGCATTGGGACTGTTTCTTGATGCACTCAGATTTCAACGTCATCCTTCGAAGGGCAACTTGCTGGCCCTCGGTGATGTCATCACTTTTCTGTCCCTCAAAGTGGTTGGTCAGAGAAGGCCCAGTTCAATTCGCAAAACACATCTTTTGTAATCTGCACATTAATACATTTAATAATTTGAATCTGTGGTGTGTATTATGTATTTTATTTGAGGGTTTTTTTTTTTTTTTTTTGTGGTCATTTGAAGTACTCCCGATGATGTACAGTATTAGACACAGGTGTGTACTGCCATATTGCAGTTTTGGCTAATATTAATGGGTTCTCTAACTGAGATGTGATAGTGGTGTAATTTTTATTTTTTAATTACGAACCAGTGATTCTGTAACATTCTTTCACAACTCTCTTTGACTTAGCATGGAACATTTTGATTGTTGTTGTGGCTTCTCTTCCGTCTGCTTCAGTGTTTTGCCGAGCAGGCGGGCAAAGCTGGCAGAGTCAACCAACCTGCCCTTTCCTCCTCTTCTCCCACACAAGACGGCTCTTTTTGTCACATTAGCTGTTTATCCCTAAACCTTTTGAAAGGGAGGACAGCGGGCCAAGATGTTCGGCGACAGAGTGGCGCCTGGGGAAACGAGAAGTGAATGACCCAGGGTAGTAGCCTTGTGAGCTGCATGGCATATGGAGTTCTTTAGCCATCTTTTTCTCTAAACACGTGGCAGCACACAGTGGACTGCAAAGGTCTTTTCTATCTCATCCAGACCGCTTTCAGGCGAAGCTCTTTAAAGGGGAACTCAAGTCACAAATATTCTGGACAATATGTTCTGTACACCTCCATTAGTCACATGTGGTATTCTGATGAGTATTGCATTCATGAAATATGAATTGCGCAGAAAATTCCACCTGATCTTAGCCTTTTCAGGTGATGACCATGTTGCCACTGCCGGTTGATTGAAAATTCCATCACAGTGCTAAAGGTGAACATCACATGACCAAACCCAGAAAACAGGAGAGCTGTGATTGGTCATGACCTGAGCCTGTCCTTTTCAGTCGACAACCAATGGGAGTACAAGGCAAAATGGCCGCCCCTAATATGGCCAAAATTTGGCGGATTTTTCTGCGAAATTAATATTCCATCAACAAAATATTACCGGTCATCGGAATACCATGTTTTGACGTGTGGTGGCGCATAGAACATATGGTCAAGGAAATGGTTGACTTGACTGCCAGCCCCACCAGCTTTTCATTATCACAAGTATTTTCATTACTGGCCTTGCTTCCACCCAAGATATCACTTTGTCCTGCTATGCTTGGCAGAGGTCACGCCACGTCTTTTAAAGGTCCTTATTGGCAATCCATTTGGTCTCTCAGAATAGGATTCAAACTGTGTTTGACTGACACCTCATTTATTTGCTCTCTGTTAGAGCCCATTTCAGAGATGATTGAGACATGGAGGGGATGGAATTGCGATTTCAAATCACTTTGGGGTCACATTCAGTGGGCTATATTATAATGAGGTGTTTAGGCCTGCGGGGGTGCTGAGGTTGTTGGAGAAATACAGACAAGAAAATACATCCTACGATATAAAAACGAAATGCGACATGCAGTCTGGGATTTCACCGGCAGAGGAAACTAGAATAAACTAATCATAAATCACCATACTAGCAACGATAATTTGGATTAGCACAAAAATTTTCACCTTCCTCAGCTCTGCTCATCAAAGGCGTCGATGGAGGGGTTAAAAAATGCAAAGTCTTCTCTGACTTATAAAACGGTTTGATTTCATGGAGCAATTGTAACATCTACGCAGCACCCCAACTGCTGTCAGGTATGCAGCACGTCTGCGGCTCGCTTCAGCACTTACGTAGAAGCACCAAGCAACAGCTTCCGATAAAGGCGAAATGTGGGTGCGATATTCCTCAAGCAAATTGACTCGGTAGGAGAAATTTAAACGGAAAAGCGCAAACAAGCACCGATGCTTCGTAAGTGTGAACGCGCCACCACGGATAGTGTTGCAACACCCTAACTGTATAATTTCGGTGTCTGAGGGGAGAGAAGGGATGTGAAACAGTTGAACGACTTTGTCAGTGTGTCTGCTACCAAGACTGTTAGGCAACAGCCCTGGTCTAAATATGGATCAAGGTCCAGGACAATAAGTAAAGTGGAGTAAAGTGGCTTTTAATATACATTTTTTCCACCTTTGACAGTTGACCTTTGCTTTACTTTAACTATTACTTTAACTATTGTGTAATATTTGAACTTTGTGTCTCTGCTATCCAGCAATATTTGGTATGAAAACCCCTCCACAAAACACAGTGTAGTATACCTGAAAATGTAACCATCTACCACATTTTTTTTTTTAATTTTGGCTTTTTTTTTCATTTTCATTTCAAAATACAACAACTCAATAATGGAGGAACAAGTGTCTGTTGTGTTTGTACTTCCCGAGCAAGGGGTCCAAATGTTATCACTATACGACTACTGCATCCACCGGAGAGGTTTTATCTGTTCACTGTGTGAAAATTCTAAATTCACAATGACACTGGAGTGTGTGACATAGCCACCTACTGGTCTGGCATTGCTACTACAGAATTTGACATTCTTGCAGGTCTGTGTGCATGTGGGACTGGTTTGTTTTTAATTGAACATGAGTTTTTTGTTTTTTTCTGACAATAACAAAAGAAAACATTTCAATACTGTCCTCATAAGAATCACCAGCTTGAAACCGGTCATCGCTCGACTCCCTTAATACGTCACTCCGGCTTCTACGCTCTTCTCAGCCAGGAGGTCCCCCCCTTGCTGTGTTTGAATGGGGTTAATTATATTCATTTACTGTAGTTTCAGTGCAAATGCAGTTGGGCTATAAATGTCAAGGTCTCATTTGAGATATGACCCTCAGAGTGTCACTCAAACCGTGCTCGTGGAAGCTTCTGCCTGGAGATTACAAACAAAACTGGCCATCTCTGTTTCTTAATCTTCCAAACAATATTTGTGCATTGCCATTTTTTGCTGATTTGGTGATGAAATTGGTTTGCCAGTAAATCATGTTTTATGTCAATGTCATGACATGCCATTATGTGGGTTTATGTGTGTGTGGGAGCGAGGCTCTGTGTGTGTAGTTTTAATGACATTATAAGTCAATGCTTCTACATTTGTACATGAGAAAATATTTGAGGAGATTGACAAGACAACATGGATAGTATGTAGTGGCAATATTTATTTAACACCAGCTACACATTTCTACAAATTACATTTCCAGTCCTTACAGGGCAAGTAAAAATTATGAAATTATAGTAAGATAAGATTTGTTAATATACTTATCTATCAGTCATGGGCCATACATTTGTTAAATGAGTTATCAATACTAAAACAAACACAAAAATGCAACATAACAGCACACAACTGTCACACCTAGAGCATCTGGAGCAGTTCAGAATCGATATTTATCCAATAACATGACAAAACCATTTATTGAATATTATGTTTTATACACACACACACACACACACACACACACACACACACACACACACACACACACACACACACACACACTGGAATAATAATGACTTCATCTCAATTTACTCAAATATATTTCTTCAGTGTGCAATTTGGACCTGTTTCATTAAACCTAAAACCGATATAATCGCAGTGAAGACATGCCTTATTCTGTTGTATGAATTGCAACATGTTAATTGTACCTTCTGCCATAGAACGAAAAGGAGAATGGTTTTCTGCCTCTCCCTATACATTGTTCATACAGATACATATTTGCATTTGATTAATAACACCAGTCAACAATGTTATGCAAATTTCTTTTGCAAGTAAACAGATGGGTTTTTTTTTCATGAAACGTCATAGCTGTAAATTAAATTAAATAAAGCATGGTTGAAATCCATATTGCGCAAGCTTTTATCTGACAAACTAAGCAAAAGATGAAAATACAGTCGCTCAAAAACCCGATGTGCTTCAAAAAAATAAAGACGTTTTAAATCAGCGTCAAGATACGTTCAAGGGCACTGTGGAAACATAAAGCCATCTCTGATTAAAACTTTTTGATGACCAGTTACTGGTCATTGGTGTAATTATCAGACAAATAAAATTGATCTGGATCATCCCCCGGAACCCTTGATGAAATTGCCTTTATAATAAAGGTTAGGAAATAATGATCTATTGATAAAATCTATGGGCATCTATTGATTTATTATCGTCTTAAATCAAGGATTCACAATGTGATCAGGTTAAACCCCCTGACAGAAGACTGTTGATTGCACAGTCCAATCATCCTGCAATGTTTTGTTGTGAAAGTCTGGACCGGATATTGCGCGTGTTTTTTTTCTGCGCTTGACGCCTACGAGTACTTGTCTCTCCTCTCGTGTCGGATCTCCTGCGTTGTGGACGTGTTGATAAAATCCATCGTGTCTCGTCTCAGCGCGGAGCAAGACGATCGCCACGCCTTTGGGGAGTCACTTTGACACGGCGTCAGCTCACATCCAGTGTCCGTTCTCTCTCCTCTCGGGATTTTTTTCCCTGACTCCACACAAGAGGAACATTTTCTCCTTGCACATCAATCACGCACGCCGCTCTGCTTGTTTGGAGTGTCATCGTGCTGCTGCGTGGACGTAAAATCATTTGGGGAGGATATCTGAAGGTGCACTCGTGTTTATATCGGATAGCTACACGTCGGATCAAGAATGGGACTTGCAGCCTAGTGGTGGTAAGGGCACTCTTACATTATCTTTACAAACCTAATTGTATTAGTTCACGCCCTTGGTCAGTGCATTTCCTCTGTAAAAAAAAAAGATTCTTGACCGTGCCATCCACTGGAAACCTGACAATGACAATTTTCAATAATTGCATTGAATTGTTCTTGGCGCGAGTGTGTGCGTGTGTGTGCACGTCTTCGGGGCGTAAGAGGGGACCCTGCACCCCTCTTTGGTGACCAGGTGACCGTGTGACGGGAAAGGTACTTGACTGTGTTACGATGCAGATGTTGGCATTCATCGTTCGTGCAATTATTACACTGCTGAGTGAGTGTGGAAGCAGTTTTTTTTGGTGAAGACACGCTCGATGCCAACTCATGCACTCACTTTCCACAACAGAAGGTACACCTGCACACTCATGAGAGCCAATGAAAGAGCTAGATATTTCAAAAATAATTATATATATATATATATATATATATATAGAGAGAGAGAGAGAGAGAGAGAGAGAGAGAGAGAGAGAGATGAAATAAAATGTGTGTGTATAATGTTTTTATATATAGTCGTGTGTACGGACGGAATTAAAATAGCACCCCTGAGGATAATACTGTGGCAGTACAACCACAATAATCACAAAATGAATTAGCAAGAGCATTGGCATGTTTGCGTTTTGCATTGGATTTTATTAGATTGTGAAGGTGTACCTAATGAATCGGCAGGTAGTGTGTCATGTTGAACAGATGCATAGGATCCATACCCAAAATGTAGAAAATGGAGGAAAAAAAAAATCATAGTGATGCATTATAGCAGTTCTTTTTTGCCTCAGGCTGACGGATGTCGAAGCTTGGCAAAGGAAGCTGAAAAGGATCTGTTATCTGTCTTCGGCAGCTTACTTTAAGGTGCACAAGTGCGAGGCGAGCTCTGTCACAAACCAGTTAGGTGGGGAGGAAGTCTACTCAGGATTTGCTGAAATTACCAGTCAGGCCACTTGCGTGCGTCGTTCCCACGCCCTCAGCTCCTCGCAGCCTCTCAGTGCTTCTCATCACAGTTGTGGACCTTAAACGCTTCCTCCAGCTTAGGAAGCCACCCTGAGAAATGTGTCTTTGCTCAACTACATTGGCAGTGTGTTCTTGTCGGCACTACCTGTCCTCTGAATTGGTTTTAGCCACCGTTGATTAACTGCGGCAGCACCACGAGCTTTCCTGCTGTAACGGCCCTTTTCACGGCTATCATGATGACATGGTAAAACAGTCGATGGTAGGAACGATACAGTAATTATGGTTCCATTCCATTTCAGTTTTCGAGCGACAGCTTCCTGCAACTTGGCATTGTTGTGCAATTTGTTGAGAGTAGCAGAGTAGTTGTCAAGCACTCTTAGGAGTGGCTGGTACACTTCATTGCACGCTATGCAAGTGTAAGATTTTAGTGATGGGAGAATGCACATCAAGGCTTCGACATAATCATAAGTGATTATTTACAACATACATAGGTTTAAGGTTACAAACAGCACACAGTGAACTAGTTGGTACAAGAATGCATTTGTCTTCTATTTATGTCCTGGAAGTGTTTTTGAAAGAAATATTGACAGTAATTATGACTTCACTGCTTCGCTTAAGTTCGTGGTAGACTCGAGCAGGAACCGTAGGTCTCCCCCAAGGAGCACACGAGTTACCCGCGGGCCTGTTTTAAAAGTAGCTCACCATTGATGGGACATTGTGATTTCCTCGAAATGTGGATGCGATCAAATGAAAATGTAAACACCGGCTGAGATATTTAGGAATTAAGTGTTGCATATTAATATGTAACTGTTTCATACCTTGTTGAAACACTGTTGGCAATTATTGCGAGGAAGCATTTACCTGCCAAATGTCCTCGCGTCGATGCATACCATAAATGACTGATGCCAAGATCATTACAGATCATTTGTGCAAACTTGTTTCAGAAGTGTTTATTGATGTGTTAGCCCTTTGCCTTAATTAGTACCCAAGAAGTTTCAAAAAGGGCGGTGACCCCTGAATTAGAGGACCCTCAACACTTATGAATGCGTCAATAATTTACATCTCACTTCTTGTCAGTGTTTTCAGTTTTCCAATTGTTTGTTTATTGATCGAATATTGAAGTGTTGACACAAAATGCAATGGAGGGCACTGCATGTCTGCAAGCAACACGGACACTGTTGATTCATTGTTGATACGAATTCAATCAAAACAAGAATTTGTCAGCAAAGGCTTACATGCACACAGACCTCCATTCTGGCACCACTGGTCTGCTCAATTCGACACTGGCATTGAAACAGTAGTTTGTTTCGAGAGATTCTCACGTAGCCTTAAAAAATGGCCACAAATGTATCATTAATGGATTATTTCCCCAGAGGTCAGTGGTCTGCAACCACCTGGTTGCGGCCATGTTGGATATTTTGTACAGGGCCGCAGGAGAGACGCTGAATAAAAGTATTTCAGTCTTCCAGTACAGTAAAAGTGCACGTTTTAGAGGGGCTTTTTATTGTGGGCAGCCTGAGGTACATCTGTGCAATAATCCTGCTGACGAATCACCATCTTGACATGTTGCACCTGAGAGGTGGATGTATTATCTCGGCAAAAGCGAAGTGCAACACAAATTTAGAAAGATTTGTTAGAAAATGACATTTTGTTTAAAAATTATATATTTGATATTCATATATATGGGCTGAGTAAGGGTACTTTTTTTTTTTTACTCCATTTCAGTCATTTCAGTCGATTGAGTGAACGACTTCCTCCCAAAGCGCTCACTTGTGCATGAGTCACCACAAGTGTGCAGGTACAGACAGAGAACACAATACGTTGTACCCTGCAATTCGACTTCGGTGCGTCGAGAAGACCAGGTGTGTTCCTCTTAATGAGAGTATGAGACAGGTCTGCAAAGTGTGAGGCCCCTCAGTGTTTGCGTAGGAAGAGGGCAGAAGGTTTTTTTTCTGTCTGGGGCAGGGCGACGGTCCGGGAGACACAGTTGTTCGCTTGCAATGACAGCTTTATCGCCGTCACAAGGTTTATGGTGGTGCGTAGCTTACGAGGGCCGAGGCGTGCGCGTGCGTGTGAGTGTCTGTGCCGGAATTCCAATTGTCTATTCCACAGCCATGAGATAATTCCATCATGGTTTTGAGTCAGGGCAATCAAAACAGAAATAGAGGAAACAGCCTAGACGGAGGATTGATACAATCCCAAAAGGTTGTAGGAGTCCTCTTAATCAATTAATTAATCTGTCATGCTGGCTGAAGAGTAGCCCAGGGTGTTCCAAAGACAGCTGGGATTGGCCCATTTTATCCCTAATCAGGGCAAGAACTATGGAAATCGGGTGACTTGATACAATTCCATGTTGCAAATTAGCACCGTTCGAGAGAACATTTTTTTTTTTTTTTTTTTTTATCGTAGTGCTATATACAGTAAAAATGTCAACTACACAATAAAAGTCTTTCATTTGTATTGTTATTTTGATGTGGGCTAGCTCCGTTGCCACACTAATGAAGTGTCTGAGACGGTAACACAGCAACAGTCGTCTTTCTATTATGTCATTCTTGGTCCTCACGGCCCAGGCGTGACTAATCCGTTTCCCCCCTCAATCAAACTATTACAGGACATGAATGTAACAGCTGGATTAGGCGTGAGGATATTCGTCATGCCTGGAGAGTGGGTCACAATGAGGATGTGCTCGAGAGGCAACTGTTCATTTAAACAACGTCCATCGTATTCACTTGATGTAAATTTCAAAGTCAGTATGTCTCATCCAAATAGTGTTTCTCTGACAAGAGCTGAAATGTTTTAAGGAGGTCTCCCGTGGGGAAGTTGTGCAATACAAAAAGGAACTTGGTACTATATATGGGGGAAAATAAAACAAAAAATGCCCAGTGTGCATTTTCATCTCAGTGTCAAAAAAATCTTGCAAGTGTTCCTGCTCAATGGGGAAACACCTCAGTTTGACAAATCAGATTAAGTAAAACCGGCAGGGCTGAGCCACTTAATACAAAAAAAAAAAAATGGATAAATGGATACATGGATTAAAATATGTACTCTCAAAAAAGAACTGTAATAGGAGCTCATGTTTTGCACATATGCATATATTTTGTCCATGTTGAAAATAGCATTTTTGCCCTACATTTGGTTAGGAAGTGCGCACACCTATATAAGTAGCCTGGATTGAAAAATTGTGTCATTTTCACCAATTATGTCAAACCTATTGCGTCAGTTCTCACTCAATTCTACATTTGATTGATTGCTGCCTCTAAGTCAGCTCGGAAGTCTCCAGTGGTCCACGGCGGCCCTGAGCAGGATAAAGTGCCGTAGAAAATGGATTGATGATTAGGAGGACAAAACATTTTGATGGTGCACCTGACAGAGTCTCACATGATTCCTTTAGACTGCTGAACTTGATCAGGAGAGTCACTGTGAAAAAAAATGAATGTGCCTCAATGTTGGGTGAAAAAGCAGGGACAGAACTGAATTTTGATGGACGGCAAGGAGAGAAGTGAGGGAGCCACAGTGGGGAATTCAACTGGCATCTAATTACCTCCCAACAGGAGCCTTGACTCCATGGAAACGCTTCACGCGCGCGCACAGGCACACATTAGGAGCATTGCTGCCGCCACATGGCTCTTGACACACATGGATTGACTTGGTCCAAAGAGCAACGGAGTATCATTGCATCCGACTGGACTCTTCTGTTATCTCCCTTATCCAAGCATCTCACTCCACCTCACATATGATCAGCACCTTACATCACTAGTTACACCTTCCCCCGTCAACAATGACATTTGAGGGGAGCGGAAGTCTAGAGTGGTAGATGCTGCTTTAGCTATGTTGAGCCAGAACGTAAAGAATGGTTTCTTGGGTTGAGCCAACTAATGATAGTGCTTTCTCTAATCATATTAGCGCATACGAGGCAAGAATTACGATCAGTGAAGATTGTGTATTCCCCCAGCACTAATTACGCCGCGTTGACATCATACATCGGTCGCGATACGGCGCACGGCATCTGTCCATGT